GAGTCAGAAATAGGTTTTCAAGTCTAAAAATTTGAAAAGGATCTAGAAATATCGATACCGTAACAGTAATTACGAGGACATTTCTACAGAAATCGAATTCGAATCTTTCATTTTGTTCGAAACGTCGAGTGTTTTGTTAGTTAAAAAAAACTAAACCTTACCTACATCACTAAGTTCTAGAAGACCAAAATGTCTTGTCGTGATGGCCAAGGACTGATGTTTGAATTTTAACTTCTAAATAAGTGCAAAAGCATTTATTTTCCTTTTCAATGTTAATAAATTCCACTTTATTCTTATAGCCTTTTCGTCAAATATGAAAGAAACTTTGAGCTTTGCTCAAAATACACACTACGAAGACCGTCACTGAAACTGGATCACTGAATCGATTCTGATCTAAAAGCTTTTGAATTACAGGTAATCTACAAGTGGACATTGCCAAATTTTATTTCTGTCGGGAATGTAATAGTAGAAAAGGTCAAACTGAATTATAAAATATATTTGTAGGGGAAAATACTGCCCAGTACAGAGAGTTAAATGTAATAAGCGAAACTTAATGACTAAAGAAATATTGTTTACCTTCGCTTCGTAAAAGATGAGTCGTCTTTTAAATTGTAAATCTATGAATATAGAAGTAGGTAGATTCTCTTACTTAGAATGAATGTTTGAGCAGTTAAAAAAAGATTTTTACTAGACAACAAAATAGATAACTTTCAGAAAACTTATGCTGTAGCCTAGCTTAAACGAAGTAGAGACGCATTTCAAAACAGTTGCAATAATGTTTGGGGAAGTGAGAAATCTGAAATCTAGAAGAATTGTGTGGAGGATTTGATTTCGTCCTAAGGAACCTTAGATTAAAGTAATTTGCTCAAGTTGCAATTCCATCACTGAAATTTGTATATTTACTAAACGTTTGGGAATAATTAAAATTTAATATAATAATTAAAAATAATTTAAATTAGCACAAGAAAGTTTTTTCTTAATATTGTCCATGTAGTTAAGATGTACAGTGGATAATGTGACCCAAATATAATATATGACATCTGTTGTGCTTTTATATTAGAGACTTAAGTTGGTGCCTACAAAGAAAAACACTCATTAAGATAAAGGTATGATTTGTTATAATTTGAATTAAATAAAATGCAGCTAATTAGGATTCATTAAATCACCATATTTGAAAAGCTTAGTACAATAAAAAATTGTATGAGCATTTATTTTAACTACGTATTTAACTTCTTACGATTTCTTGGTTTCTTTAACTTTCCATGCGATAGTGATTGCATTTAAATGTCAAATTTGGATTTCGTTATGTGAAATATATAAGATTCGCCCATATTATGAAAAAGAGGAAAAATTCATTTCTAAATATTCTACCATTTTGTACTAGGTGGCAAAGGGCCGCACAAGAACCTCGCGGAGGCCGCAGGTTCCCCACCTATGAGTTAGACTATAATAAACAAGTTGAAATACTATATCATGCACTCTAAGAGCTTAATACTATTATTTATCTAGTTATTCAATTTCACCATCTGAGTTTTATTAACTGATTAACCTGAATCATGAAAGTGAGAGCATTTTAACACATTTTCAGTATATTGCCATGCGTATAATTATTTGATATATTTTTAATTATTCATATAACTAATTTTTGCCTTCCTGAGCAATACCTATTGCGAATAAAATGACGTTTTTATACTTAACAAAACCTCAATTTGAGATTTTCATGCCATCGGCTGTCAGCGCAATGATATGAATTTCTAAAAATATGACTATTAGATTGAAAACCGTTGAGTAATAAGCATAATTTTGCAAAAAATCTTTTTAAAGGCAGAAGCAAGATTCACAGATTATGTAACAGCTATTTATTATTAACTAAAACGCTTGCGTGTTCACTGTGTTTTACGCCTTTTTGTTAGGAATTTTGATGAAAAAAACGGTGGCATATTGCCTAATGTATAAAACAAAAACCCAATTCTGCTTTAAAATGCTTTTAAAATCTATTTAAATTAGGTTACATCTTGATGACGCTAAATTTAAAAATGACTTCAACTGATTAGAAAACTAAATATGCGAACTACCTTATTAGATTCCACTACTAATTTCTTAACCGACTGCGTTCTGCTTCAAAATAAATGTTAACAGTTGATTTTTCTTTTAGTTTATAAATAAATATTTTAGTAATTAATTGAGGGTTATACTAGCATTGCACTAAGACTAATACATCTAAATAATTTTGTACGTCTTACTGGGTTTTAAACTAGAGTTCTTTGTTCTTTGTTACGCGATTTAAAGCGTTTTATATTACTTATCAGATGCCACGATATGCAGCTGGAAACAATATATGTTCATCAAACAAGAATGAAATAAAACAATCTATTACAACAATTAATTAATCAAATATATAGAAAAATTAAAAGCAATAATGTGTTAATAATAGCATCAATATATCAAATACAACACTATATACCTTAATCTTCATTCGATCTTCTCTGGGCCCACCTGCGGCCGAGCGGTAAAGTCGCTGAACACTGGTGGTTCGGTCCGAGGTTCGAATCACGCGGACGGGCTGGCTGCATGGGTGTTTTCGTGGTTTTCCCCATTTGTAACGTGTATGCGAGTTAGTTTCCCTTAGAAAGTCCTCCACGAAGGCATCCCTTCCCTTAGGCAGATAGCCCTAGTGTGCTTTGCCATAATAAAATACGCCAACACCGATCTTCTCTGAAATTGGTTGAATATTTTTACAGGTATTTTACCTTTGCTTTACCTCAATTCTGCTTGCATGACATTTAAAATGTTTGTCACATTAGACTGCAGAGATTAAAGTTCTTCTCAGAATGAATTTATACCTTTAAATTACTTAAGTTCACACATACTGTGAAAACAGAAATTTTTAAAATAAAGATGCACTTTTGAATAAGTAACTATATTAGTTTAAGGTTTTGGTAATGATGCCCCGACTGCTAAGATTATTAGGCGTATACTATTCTAAGATTTGCTTAGAATCTCATAGTTTTCATAAAAGTATAATAAACAAAATTAAAGAATTAAAGAAAAGCTTTTCAATTAAAAATATGTTTAGAAATAACTGTTTGATAGGCAGACATGCTATCTATTTTACAACTATTATTAGTATTACTATTTTTTAAATTTTGATAAACTTCTAATTATCCAACAAAGAATTAAAATATGAATATTAAATTTTCAGGGCATCAGAATTAAAAAATGTTTCCTATAAATAAGTTTCAAGACTTTGTAAATTAAATTTTGAGTCTGAATACTTACGTCACAGTGTATGAACTTATTCACATACTTGAAAACAGCAATATTGAGTCATATTCATTACTACTAATTAAAATAATGAATATTTCAAGCACAACAGTTTTTACAAATACGAACATCAGTTAAAACTCATCAATTTATTGGATTGAAATTTAATTTGTAATTAATGATTACCTTAAATTATTTATTTATGTATGATAGAGTTCTTTGTGACTGATCTCGCTGTAACCGAACTTCCGCATCTGTTCTCGCTGTAACCGTGACTTTGGTTAGCGACCGAAGTTCATTAACCGAACTCGTCTTTAGCCAGCTCTAATCATGAATTTCTCTTTTCGCAAATCTAATTTCGTTGCAAAGGAAAAAAAACAGTTTACGCTACTCAGAAACAAAACTCGTCAAGAAAATGAAATAGTTGCTAATAACAATTTTGTCTGTTTTTAAACTCAGTCTGCAGTTAGAATTGTTATCTGTGTCTTTTGCATCGTGGTCACTTCGTGTGCATAGTTTCACCTTCTTTAACTGTCACTCCTTCTTTTAATTTTCACTGATATGAAATTGATGAAACCAATAAAAATGGAAACGGAATAATTAACATACGTTAATTACGGAATAAATACATACGTTAATTATTGAAATGAAGAATGAGATACATTGAAATGCCAAAACATTTATCAGCCTTTCATACTATCTCTATAAAGAATATTATAGTAGTTTTTCTTGAAGAAAAACTTTAATTAAAAATTAATGAAAATTACTAATTACATTAAGTAGATAAATCTACATTTAATAAATATTTATATCCATTATATTTAATGACTTTTCAACTGGTTTACAATAGGAAACGTTATATTATATTCTTTCGCGGATTAAATGACTATTCGATTATCTAGCCGAAAATCCAGTCTCCTACAGACCCGATAACAGGAAGTACACCGTATTTTCCCTAAGGCACATTTCATAGAATTAAACTTTTTGATGCATGCTGAAATTTAAATTTTATATACATGTCATATGCATTTCAAAATTTTAAAAGTACTTAACTGAATTTGCTGCGACTTATGGAGGGAGTCAGTGAAAGGTGGGAGTCACATTACTTTGAAAGCATATTTAATATTTTCTATAAAAGCATATTTAATAATAATACTAAGCATATTGATAATTTCAATGTGATTTTGCTAAAAAATAGAATGTTAAAGAACAAAACATACACTTTAAAAGGTATTTGAGATGATAATCACCATATTATTTGCTTTTAAATTTACTCAAATACATTCAAAGTCAAAACACTAGTTGCTAACTAATATATTTTAAGCACAGATGCTCAAGATAATACTGAACAGATTATTGTAATATTTGATTTATACAGGCTGCAGTTTCTAACTAAACGTAGCATTTAAGATTTTACTTTTATTTAGTGTAAATGCTACGTGATGAAAATATAAGTTATAATGTGATGAAAATATTTTTATTTATCTAAACTATGAACTGAATTTTAGTATGAGTTTTGTATATAATTTTATGTCACTATATCATAACTTTATTTTTTAATCTGAGCTTTATTTTTTACCTACGGAATCATCAAAAAATTCGGTAATTTTAGATAAAATAAAATAATCCCGTTTTTGATTTATTTAAAATATGAACTGAGGTTTAGCGTGAATTATATATGGTGTTGTTAATTTTATGTCATTTAATGTATAATTAGAGTTTTATTTTTTACTTACCGAATCATCAAAATATTCTCTGGCGGCATGACTTGCTCCTTGAGCTTCCAGTTTGCCAAAATTCGAGAGAAGGAGCAAGCCAATAGTTAAGAGAAGACTCAACAAGTTGATGGGAAGCATGTCTTGTGTAGAGAAATCGGCAGAGAAAACTTCTGGAAAGCTGGAGCTCACGCTGGCTTCGAAACTCGGTCTCTTAGGAGCTGACGATGCTGAAATCTGCGCGGACAAACTTTTATGCGCTTCACCAAAGGGGAGCGAACAGACCTTTATATAACACATTTGTTTCAACATTGGGCGGTGATGACGTCATTCTTGTAGCCGCGCCCCTCGCCATGTTTGGAAGATAAAAGGGGGAAAAAAGTAAATTATTTCGCTTGTTAAACTTCAAGATAAGTGTTTCCGGATTAAAAAGCAGGAAGGATTAAACTACTGAGAAACGATGTATTTTAAAGACCAATTAATCTTTCGTTATTTTAATTAAAATGATTTAATATTGTGATTTATTTTTTGAATTTTTTTCCCTGAAATAAGCCTAGATAAGAATATGCAGAATAATTGCAACGCTGATGAAATGATATAATATTTTTTTTCTCGGCGCATCAGAAAAAACATATGTAATTATCTCACTTCCATGTAGTATTATTTTTTTTATATTCCCACCAAAAAAAATAGAAGAATAATCCCACTAAGTTAATATTGATTTTATTTAAATGTTAAAAATAGATGCCAGTGTTAAGATGTTATAACTATTTAAAATTTTTAGGAAATAGACACCGCGTAAAAACAAATTTCTTACCAGTTATTCTTTACTCTATACACAGGACTCAACGTTTTGACGAAGGTAAATTCCCATTTTTCAGGGATATCAATTTAAACACAAGAAACCAAGTACACAAAATGAACCTAGCACTTATCAATTAAATAATAGGGTAACACAGAAAAAACAGTTTTGCAGGAAAAGATAAGAGGTGATAGTGTAAGCATTTATGTAGCATAATGAGGGTTAATATGAAGGAATATACAAAAACAATTTGATAGCATTGCGATGAATTAAAAGTAAATCCCTTAAGTTAAATTAAAAGTAAAAAAAATTAATCGTATGACGAACTTGAAATCACCATCATCTAAAATACAAATTTAAATTGCATATAAGATAATTACAACCAAATCCCTATATATTACGGAGTATGATCAGCAACAAACTTATTAAAATGTTCCCTTGATATTTCATCAATTTTCCAGTCTCATGCCCTAAGTGCATGCCCTAAGAATTACGCACTACGAAACTATTAAATTAAAAACTAAAGGCAACAGAAGAGCGAGCACATAATCTAAGCAAAATTTTAGGTACTGTAAAAATATCATGGTTTTGGAAACAATGTAACAAAAACTTCTTAAATCTATTTTCTTAATCATATATCAATATTAAATTGAATTAAATTCATTAAATTATTTTCCATATTAAATTAAAATATTTTAGATGAGGAAGTTCAGAATTTCTCTTTATACGTTCGGATTATTTTTGTAAATACATATAGAAGATGAAAATAAATAACATACAGAAATAGAATATAATTTCTTTTCTGTATGTTACTTATATTCATCTTGTAAACATGAAGTGCTTTGTTTTCATATTATATAGGTCAAAATTGTGTTTTATTTATAAAACAAAATTGTGTTTTATTTAGGCCTGCATCTTTATTTCCTTAATCTATTTATTGGATAGTTAATTTTCGTAAATGAAAGTTTCTAAGTTCATTACGACAAAAATTACGATATGACTCTTCATCTACCGACAAAGATGAAAAAACGTTCTACATTAGAACTGCTTAGGGTTTATGGGATGGACTAAGCTTTGGAAATACAAAGCATCTAAATCATGAAAAGGATGGATTTTTGTTATCTTTTAAATGTAATAAGAGCTGAATTATTTCCCCTAAACTGTCTACCATTATCTGAGTCACTGAATGCCACAGTTACTTTATCTTAGGGCCTTATTTTTATATTAATTTATAAAATAAATCTTTATTATTTTTGTTTATAAACGACGCATAAATCGATGCAAACGAATGGATGCTCCTTATTATACTAGTATTATTAAATTTAATCCAACATCGCAGTCATTATTCAAAATCAAAGTAAAAAAAATTAATTTTATTGTGTAATTGAATTCTGAACCTCAATAATTTATTAAGTTGTTCATTTGGTTTAAAATTACTCAGATGTGCTACTGTAAGTGTATTTCTTACTCAACATAATATCTTACTACGTTACAGACATTTTCCCACCATTTTCAGCCTGTGTGTTGTGACTGACCTCACTTCTCTGAACTAATCAAATCAAGCTGATGAATTCTTTCGTGGCAAGGAGTACAAGATTGCGTCTGTTGTTGGCAAGGAGCCTTGAGCACCATACAGGTAACATCACGACATTCCTCAGTTCCGCCCTAATTTTGAAGGAGAGCACCCCGGGAGATAGATCATAGGGTCTCCCAGCCCTCTTCTTCTAACACCAGTCTCTCTAAAAAAAATTTCACTTCGCGGTATATTTTGAATGCTCCTATACCGCATAGACATTATACACTTTCAAACATCCATGTTATCTCCGGTATTCGAACCCGGACCCATCGGTAGAGCAGTCAGCGTTATTAACCACTTTCCTTCTGAGCGGCAGTGTTCAGCCTTAGCCTTCTGGGCATAAGTGAAAATATATTCTGAGCAATATATGTATACTACAGAAATGCATTAAAAAGAATTTTGTTTTGAAGTTCCTAATAATATAATACTGTCATATATATTCCTAATTTATTTAACACATCATAGTAGTTCTGCTCATTATTTGAGCTTATTTTGAAAATGTGATTGTTCTGCTGCTACTCTGTGGCATAATTAGGCTATGTAAATGTGACCCTAATTCCAGGATTTAGTTCAGGTTAACAGAAAATTATTGAAAAACTATTCCCATTGAAAATATTTATACATAAAATTCTACCATTTTGTTTTTATTCTCTGATTAGAGTGAAAAATAATTTTCCCCTCCTTTTGGGATTTAGATTGAAACAGAATTAATATTTGATCTTCGCTAATCTAAAAGTGGGAATAAAATTTCTCACATAGCTGCAAGAATTTATTGCGTGCATTATTATAGGTCGCTATTTATATATTCCCATTTATTTGTGAATATTTGTGTCAGAGAAATGGCAATAATGTTTATCTTTTTTCTTCTTCTCTCTACATCTGCATTAAGTACGTAGATAGGGTTATTTGTGCTATTTTCTAACAATACGAATTTCTTGGTACTAAACGTTACTATGTTATTGGTACTATGTTATTTTATAACATTTTGTTTTCCAATTAACTTTATTTTATGGCACTTTGTTCTCCCACATGTTCGATTATTCTGTCTCATAAACTCAATTTCCCTTTACCTGCAATCAATCAAATTTTGCACTGACGCATTTGCTTTCTTACTCATATATGCTGTTCCTTTTCTACAACATATTCAAGCAAATTGTGGTTAGAAAAGAATCGTATAACTTCCTGGTGTATAACAAATATTTTTATATTTGCAATATTGGACTGTTTTGCTAACAAATACAATATTTTTCAATTTTTGTTAAACAGAATGATTTTTTTCATTGCTATACTCATTTTGTCGTCTCCACCTACAACCCTTTTTTAAATTTAAAACTGTTACGTTGCCCTGAAGAAAGCTTACAGTTCTAATCAAAGCAAATACTTAACCTAAACCGAAAACTTACAGTATATCATTAATTTAAAAATACAACCTGTTTTTCCTCAAAATAGTATAATACAGTGTATAGTTGCATAAACATGATAAAAAAATTTTGAATAATGAACGTAAGTGAACATGAAGCGAAAATATGTTTATCTACTTATATTGATATATGATTATTATTTTCTCATATATCAATGCGAAAATAATAATCTAGTTACTAAGAATAGAAAAATAATTGAACTCTATGGGATATTTTCTTTTAAAGATAAAATGAGGATACCAATAATTCATAACTAGATCAACCAAAACGTTAGCTGTAAAAAATGATATTTACAGCATAGCCAAATTCCTACTTTTTATCAAATATAGTAGATAATATAGTGAGAAACGCTAAGTGGACTGTGTAATTTTTCATAGTAAAATTTCAAGTCTTCAAGGTGTAAATTTGCTCATTCGGGCCAATTTTGCTTCAAGCAAGCTAAAATTATGATGTTAATTAATATTCAAGTAAAGTGGAAATATTCTGAAGAAGAAACAAAGCCGACGTTGCATTACATTCTTAGCGCGCATAACTTTCACAGGGTAGTGTCTACTGAGATTACATCTCGCAAGTTAAAGTACCTCTTATTTTGCGATTTCTCATGCGCACAATTTTCAGAATTGGATTATATTTGAATTATCTCATTTGGTATTTTAAGTTTCAAGAAAACTCTAATAATACATACAGTTTGATATCTGTATAGCCTTGAAGCATAAATTTCCAGAAATATCCGTGTTCTGAATATATCAATAATAACCTATTACTCAAAAGCTTTATTTTTATTTTGTCATGTGTTAATCTATGTTTATCACGAACATGAAATGTTTTGCTTACATTTTTAACTGTCGCGATGAACCTTAAATGTTTAGTGTGACAGTAAATTTCTTTAGCTGACCTTATTAAACATGTTAGGTTCCATTCTATTTCGGTAATAAATAGCGTGTTATCCACTACCGGGAACATTGTATAAAAGTACGGTGAGCAGCAATTTGAGTACTGGAGATTCTGCTTAACAGATTTTGGCTCTCCCTGTAAATATTTCGTTAACGTAGCTTTCTCTGTTGATTACTTTACTCAAAGATGAGCATTATGGCAAAACAAACGAGAGCTATCGCAGACTAGGTTCCCGAATGGAATTGTTCAAACCCGAAGAATTTTTTCTGCCATATACAGATAGTCTTGGAAAACATTTTACTGATATTAACTCCTTGTGACAAGAGCAAATAAATCACACCGGCTGTTATAAAAGCAATTTGCCTTTCTTCACACAAACTTCCTACTTACATTCGAAATATTTTTCTGCGTTTTCCAGGGTTGCTCGTTTCCAGTACTTTTTCTTATGATGTATAATTTTTTTATATGGAAACTAGAACATTTTCGAATTTTAGGTAATATTATGTTCCTTAAAAACACCGATAGCTTCTATTTCATTATTTGGTAAATCTCAGAAATCCACGAAGAAAATAAAA